GTGAAAGTTCAATTTAGTTCCCTTTTTTGAACAAATATACAAGCTTTTTCATTAGAAGAAACAGGGCTGTTAGACCATAGCTAAAACCCAACTTCCTATAGAATATTTGCCATGACTTTGAAAAAAATTAAAGATGAAATTAATTCAATTATTTGTGCCTTAATTCTGCACAGAGGTGATGTTGGTGCACCTGCTAGCAGCAGTGCTTGAGTATGGGGGGAGCTACACCTAGCATCTCAACAAACTTGAGGCTCTCCACTGGCAAGGTATGAATGTCCTAAGGCACTCTGAGTTGCCAAGATTAAATTGGCAATAGCAAAGGGTGAGGGTAACCGAGGAGATCCATTGTATCTTTAGATGAGAGCATTGCTGGAACAAGCCCCCAGCAGTTTGGGGTGTTCCCTGGTGCCCATGCACTGGCTGTGCTCAGGGTCCAGCACTGCAGCAGGCTGCACTGGGGCAGTGGTCAGAGGGCCCGGTACCCAGCAGTGCGTTAAAGGTTCTGTAGGCCCCTCCCTGTCGGTGGCCTGCAGCGAATGCCTAGAGCAGTGCGAAAGATTGGGGTAAGAAGGCAGTGATGCTCCATTGTAGGGACTGAGAGCGATCATCTTTACCATACACTGTTTCGGGAGTAGTTGCTGCGTGGAGCCCAGCACGGGGATGCGAGGCAGCTTATATAGAACAGCTGCGGGGCATGAGGGGGCTGGGTCGGTGTCGGCGCCTTCGAAGGCGGCTTTGCGCGGTGCTCCTGGCAGCCCGAGCAGCCGAAGCGGGAGCGCAACGGTGTCGGGCTCCTGGAGGCTGCAGCGGCTGCTTTCGCTGGTGTTGCAGCATCCCATCCTAAATCCGACCGCTGCTGGAGCCGGGCAGTCACCGCGGGCTCACCTGACGGGAGCAGCGCAGCGTTGAAGCGCTTCCCCTGGCCGGCAGGAGGCCGCTCACCAGCACTCGCGCTTCCCTGAGTAAGCCGTATGGAGGGTGCGTGTAAAGCCAAGCAAGGAGCTGCCGCCGCCCGGCCCGGCGTCCCCTGGACTCTGTCCCGTCCCGCTGGTTTCTGGAACCGCCGTGGTAGGCGGCGAGTGGTAAGAGGGGCCGGGGTGCGGGTGCTGCTCTGCGCCGGCTCGGGATTCGGGTGGTAGGAGTGTGATCTGGTTATCCCGGGCTCCGAGTGAGCCACCTGCGTGCTGTGGGAAAGTGGATCCTTCTGCTGGTGCTGTGCTCGGAAGCGGTGCTTTGTTGTTTGGCAGTACTGTGAATAACAACTGAAAGGTGTTTGTGTGCTGGTTTTAAGGGCTTTGTGATTGTGTTTCCTTGTGGCTTTCAAAAACTCATAGGGAGTATCTGGAAGCTGTGACTCCATTTGTAGTTTGCCTGTGTTTGCTCTGTCAGTGGCTCCCTCACAGGGGACACTGGTGCAGGGGCAACTCTGAGAGGGGCTGGGCTGCATCCCAGGGCCGTAGGGTGGCTGGCAAGGGAGGGTGGTGTGTCCCTGCCTCTATGAGAGGAAAACGAGCAGTCCCAGGTTTGTGTCTCTTAAGAAATTTAGTCCTGTGAAGACCTATGGTGATGTATCTGCTTCCACCATCTCCAGGGCAGGATGAACATGCACATGGGATGTGCCTTATGAGTGTTTGCTTGGTTTGGTTTTTAAAGATCCAGTATAAACAGCCCAAAGATCCAGTATAAATAGCCCTTCGAAGCTCTCTGTTTCTGTAACCCAGTACGGCAGTTGTCAGGTGACATAATTTCAGGTACAAACTTTCTCTACTTGTAGCTTACAGGAGAGTCTAGGGAGAGGAAAATACTCTTTTCCTTGGAATCCTTCTCAAGGAGCTTCAGGAGGCCTGTATCACCTGAATTTGACCAGTTCCTTTTTGAGGCCACTTTGAGCTCTCCCCAAATCAAGGAGTTCCACAGTTCCTGTGTGATTGTGTACTTCACTGCCTCTGCTTTCCTGCATGTTCAGCAGAATTGTCCTTCGTCTGTGTTCTGGTTTTGGTTGCGATAGAGTTAATTTTCTTCCTAGTAGCTAGTGCAGTGCTGTGTTTTGGCTTTAGTCTGAGAACAGTGCTGATAACACAGCAATGTTTTAGTTGTTGCTAAGTAGCACTTAACCCTAATCAAGGACTTTTCAGTCTCATGCTCTGCCAGCAAAGAGGCACACAAGAAGCTGGGAGGAAGCAGAGACAGGACAACTAACCCAAACTGCCAAAGAGATATTCCCTACCACAGCGCATCATGTGTAGAAACTGGAGGGGAGTTGGCTGGGAGGGGATGGATTTTTGTTTCTCTTTTTGTTGTTTGCCATCTCAACCTGCAGGTGTTTCCTTCTTTGGATTTGCCTCCCCATCCCACCTTTGAGTGTGGGAGGTGAAGAGGAGTGAGTGAATGGCTGGGATGGTAAATAGAAACTCCTTTCCCATCATGCACCATTGTTGACACCATTATTACTTTTCCTACTGAGCCCTAGCATCCTGTCTGTCTTTTCAGAACTGCTGAGTTAAGAGGCACTATGCTACAGGTACTGTTAGGGCTTCATAACTTGATGGGTTATAGTAGTGTAGAACCATTTCTTATGTAGTCATGGCCAGTTGTTTTAGCCTGAAATTCTACATTTTGAACTGGATTGTCTTTTCCAGTCACTCTGTAGGTAAGTATATTATGAAAATAATTGCAAATGCCTTTAGGTTTGACCATTCTGGTCTAGTATTTCAGCACTGATATTGAACCTGAGGGACCAAATGACATCTTCTGTCTTAAATGATTTTCAGATGGCTCCTGAATGCTGCTTTCGTTCAGACTTTCTGCTCTTGGAGCCCTCCCTGTTGGATGGTGTTTGGTGCTTTGCCATCACACCTTTTTTTTAAAAAAAAGGTATTTTCCACAGTCAAACCCCATGAATTAAAAATGTGCCGGGTTCAGGACAGAGCCATAGAGAATACCTGGCCATGGAAAAAATTAGTGCAAGATTTTAAAATACGGACTTCTTTTACATAACTTGAAATACTTCTGCAAGTCATTATTGTGATGAATTGTCGTGGTTTAAGTCCAGTCAGTAATTCAGAACCACGTAGTTGCTCACTCACTTCCCCCCTTCCTCCCCCTGGCTCCCAGAGGGATGGGGAGGAGAATCGAAAGAATGTAACTCCCAGGGGCTGAGATAAGAACAGTCCAGTAACTAAGGTGTAACAAACACAAATCACTGCTGCTACCACCAATAATAATAATGATAAGGGAAATAACAAGGGGAGAGAATACAACTGCTCACCACCCGCTGACCGATACCCAGCCTGACCCGAGCAGTGATCTAGACCTTCGGGTAACTGCCCCCAGTTTATATAATGGGCGTGACGTGCTGTGGTATGGAATACCTCTTTGGCTAGTTTGGGTCAGGTGTCCTGTCTCTGCTTCCTCCCGGCTTCCCCTCCTCCTTGGCAGAGCATGAGACTCACAAAGTCCTTGGTCAGAGTAAACATTACTGAGCAGCAACTAAAAGCATCGGTGTTATCAGTGTTGTTCCCAGGCTGAAAGTGAAAACACAGCACTGCACCAGCTACTAAGAAGGAGAAAACTGATTGCTACTGCTGAACCTAGGACACGGATGCATCAAAATAGGCTGGAAGGAGGAAGGAGCCTGGGGAATGGCACCATCTTATTAAGCAAATCCTTGTGCTTTTGCTTTTTTCAGTGTGTATATTTAATATATATATATGCTAAGAGGGATAAGGTGCTTTCATAGGGTGGTAATGCAAATGATGAGGGAGATAAGTCATCTTCCTTTTCAAGATTGTATGAATTGCAGCTGGAACTGAAGATGCTCTTCCATGCATCCAGATGAATTTCATCTGAGATACTAAATACTAAAAGCTGCAAGAGCAAATACTTCCTCATTTCCATTGTTTGCTGTATGATTGTTTTAAATGTTATTTAATGACAGCACCTTCACCACAGGGGAAGGATGATGTGTGAAGTGGAGGAATAAGGTGACACTTTGTTGTTTGGGGTTATGCTTCTGTTCAAATAATACTGGCAAAGATACAGGAAAGAACAAAAAGCAGAACTTCGTCAAAGTTCAGAAAAAGCTGCAGCTGTTTTATTCCAGAGGAAAAATGTTTTCAGGTCCTTTCAGAGTAATAAATTGATGGAGAAACATTCGTGTCAAAAATTCCTAAGTGTTTTTAATATTTCCTGGCTCAAGTTGTGAGTTTTGTAAATTTCTGTGTTTTTTTTTTTTTCTCTAAACCAAATGTAATTTGTGTTTGTGGGGTAGTGGTTCAGAAGTACAATGGAGCCATCAAAGTGGTAAGGTTTTACATAGTGGAAAGCCAACTGAACAGGTACAAGGGGAGAGGCTCTTGGTTGTACATGGGGGTCAGTATTCCTGTCGTCACAGGAAGCCATGGCACAAACCAGAGTGCCTGCCCAGAGCTCTGCAGGTGGAGCCTGGGCTTCATCTGCAGCCCAGGCAGGCAGGGGCACCCCTGCAGGGGAAACATGGGGTCTAACTGTCAGCATTGTGAAACAGAAGTGAAATGCTTGTGTCTGTGATGCCAGAAAGTGCCCCGAGCTCCTGCATGGCTCAGGTTCCTTTACAGGGACCTTTTCCTGGATGTGGCTGTGTAGGGTCAGGGTGGGTGAGGCAAGTGGAAGAAGTGAAGGAAGCTTTGGGCTAGGCAGAGAAAGGGTGGCAGAGCTGCATGGTCCTGCAGCACAAGCAGAAAGAAGCACTCTTTGTTCAGCACAGACAGCTGAAGTTAACTTGGGATTTGAAAGGAGAAAAGTAGTTTTTGTGAAGGACAATGTTGTGTTGTGCTTTAGGAGGTCGTTTTACCAAAGATGGCGCTGAGCAGCCTCCTTCAGGCTGGGGTATTTTTTTTTTTCCCCCAAGGAGACAGATGAAAAAAAAATACTTGCTGTGTAATGCCCTACATCAGCCAGGTTATAGGGCATCTTTTAGTACGTGTTTATGATCTAACTAGAAATTAACAGAAAGCCAGAAATCAAATGACAATTTTAATAGACTTTAGAACAGAGCGTATGAGTATAAAACACTGGTTTTGTATTTCAAAAGTTGCAGGAAGATAGCCAGTCATTTTAAACAGTCTTCTACAAAACATATGCCAGTAGATTACATAAAAGACACTATATACAATTATAAAAGAGCAGAAACCAATCCTCACTGTAAAAATAATTTAAAACAAAGTATTTCAATTTAAAATATCTCCTATAGCACAAACTAATACATTGTGACATGCAAGTGGAAACAAAACATATTGCATTCTTTAGTGTAGCCAAATAAGAGCTGTATTAAATTTGGACAATGAGACGCAACATGCCAACATTTTTTCATGAATACAGGAAGCTGTTCTTCAATACTTATTAACTGATGTATCTTACGTTCAAAGAACAGCTATATACATCTGCCAAAATGTAATAAATATTAAAGCAAAGTATAGGAATAGTCTATATTGTAGAGTTCATCTGGGCCAATGTTGAAAAAGTGGTTATAGAAAAATGCTGCTTCACTTCCTACTGCACTGTGCAATTTTACAAAATAGTCTGAAGGCTCAGAAACAATCCACACTTGAACATTTGCCACATCCAGTTTTAAGGCAGCCTACTAGCGCTTAGATACACAATGTAGTCATCTGAGTAGCTGCTTTGCTTTTAATCAGCAGGTGAGGCTAGCAGGTATTTTCCCAACCTGAGGCATGAGCTCAGAGCCATGTGCTGCCAGGTTGGGTTGTTAAGCTGTGCTTTAGCCACTCAGCAGGGCAAGCAGAGGCTCTTTGTATTCGAGATAGCTTCTCCTGGCTTAGTTGCATCAATAAGGATAAAGGAAGAGCTTATTTTTTTGTGCCTTCTCACGTGCTGGTGGAAACACTATTCTGGACTTGTCCTAGCTTCCACACTGGAGCCTTGGCAATTTAGCAAATGCTGTTTTTGATGCTAGCTGTGCTAAATCTGACTTTTGTGTACAACATGAAAAGCCTCTGCTGTGGGGGATCCATTTTGTTTGAAATGCCAGTGTTACAGTTGCTGTGGAGCCAATGTCAGCATCACTTCCTGCCCACAGGAAGGATTAAACTCAATACCCCAAGCATTTTCACAACGCTTCTTGATCAGCCTAAAACCCATAGGATTTCTCAAGTGCTTTCTGTCCTGTTTCCATTTAACTACCTACTTGCACTTAAGTATGTCTCAAACATACAAAGTAACTGTTAAAGCAAAAAATTAGCTGCCACAGTAGGTCTTAGAAAATGCCAGTGTTTAATGACAGATTAGGCAAGAACTAAAGGTTTAGCAGAAGAGCAAGAGGTTTTAAATAAACCAAACTGTTACAAAGCAAGAGGTGTGAAAATACCATTCTTTGGTCTAAATTAGCTGTTCCCTTTATATTAGTTTAACATTCCAATGGCTTTTTCAAAACAGTTTAAAAATAATATAAGCTGAAATTCGTTGAGCAAAAATATGTATTATATACATGGATGCCTGATCAGACAGAGGAACTTAAAAGTGAATACAGTGACAGTTGTTCAGGTATTCCTAGTACCTTAAAAAAAAAAAAAGGAAAAAAGTTAGTGTTGAGCGCGCAGTAATAGAATTTTATTGAAAAAGGTAAAAAACTAAGCATGAAAATCTGGTTTTGTTATTTATAAACACTACATCCTGATGTTTCTGTTGTTCTAAATTCAGACGTAAACATTCATTCTGACATGCCAAAGCTCCTAATGCTGGTGGAAAGTTCCTGTAACCAGTCTATGACCACTTCACAACTTGTTGCTCAGATGGTCAGTCCCTGCAGCCGCAGTTGCATAAGCTGATTCATCAGCTGCCGATTCATCTTGTTCAACTCCTTCTTCCCCGAATCCGTGTTCCTCTTCCCTTTCTGGAGCATCCTCATCCTCCATGCCGTTATAAAACTCTTCAATCTCACTCTCATCCTCCACGTCTAAGCTCTGACTACGACAGGAACCACTTTCACTACTACTACCACAAGAGCTGGAAGATATGATATCATCTTCAGAATCCGAGTATACCTCAGCACCATGGAAAATATAGCGATTTGGTGGTAAAAAGAGATACTGAGTACCTGAAACAGAATTTTGAAAGTCAGTGGAAGGCTAAAAGAAATCATTCGTACAAGATCTTGCAGGCTCCTGGTTGGAAGGTACCCACGTTTATTTTTTGACAGTGAAACTTAACTGACAGATTACATGTATTTATTTTGATGTATGTGTATTTACTATAAAGCACAAACCAAATGCTCTACTGGAAGGCTCAGCATTCCTTCTGCCCCCTCCCCTCTGACACAAAAGAACATTTAAACTTCAGTGTTCAGCAGCTCTTTTCACAGCTGGATTTCCTTGTCCCAGAACTGGAACCCAGTGCACGGATTATTTGACAAAGTTTAAAAGCAGCTTTTGCTTTGGAAAGTTGCAGTTTAATACCTGGTTCATCCACACTTATTTCCTAGTGTGGTAACTCCCTATATCAGTTAAGAGGCTGTGTATTAGAAGGCTTTCTTGGAAACTCTAGTTTCCTGCAAAATGTGCCTGGCTCCAGCTGTGAGATTTGCAGTTGATCTATCATGGTTTCATCTTTCAGTTCTACTTTCATAGCAAATTATGACGTAGTGTGACCAGCTTCTGAACATGTGAGAATCAAACTAATTTTTCTGAAAATGCATTTGAAAATCTTAGAAACGGATTTATTTTTTGATACCTACCTTCAGCCTCCTCAACTTTGACCTGTTTAGGGAGTATGTAATCACTGATTATAAAATTAGGAAGTAGAAAAGAATTTCCCATCAGCTTCTCCAAAAGAAACAAATGATAAAATGATGAGTTAGGTAGACGCTTGTCTGAACAAAAATAACCACCAAAATCCACTCAAGGGTAACTTATTTATTGCTTTAAAGTAAGTCTAAAATAAACATCTTGGCCAAAAGATGCAAAATGCTGAAATGAGTTACCACTTACCATCCAGCCTTTTGCTGATCTGTTCTTTTGCAGATCTGTTTACCCAGCACTTCTTTAAGATTTCATTTTTTTCTTTATTTTCTCCATTGTTAGATCCATTTTCCTTCATAGTTCCAGAGTTCATTAGTTCACTAGTAGGATTTTCAGGGTTTTCTGGCAATGTCTGTGTGTCCTGAAGCTTTTCCTCTATGCAGGCCCCTTTAGTTTCTGAGGCAGGATCACAGTTTTCTACCTTGCATTCCGCTGGGTGTTCTGACGACACCACCAAAGTATCTGGTGGAGTCACTCTTTCTGGTGAACTAGAATCTTCTGAAATGTTTAAAGGGGTAGGCGGTAGCTCAGATGAGGGCATTTCAAGCTCCTTGTGCGTTCGTGGTGGCTTTTCTGTTATTTCTGAAAGTTTTACTGAGTTGTAGCAAAGTTTTGTATATTCACTACCTAGCCTTTGACACAATTCATTAATAATAACATCACAGTCTCCAAGAAGCTCCACATCAAAGTGTAGATGAGGCAAAGGTTCCCTATTAATTAAGATCTGAGGCACTTCATGAGGGATGGAACCTACACATAGAAAAGAGAATGCCAAGGTAGTCACTTCAGTTTTACTTTCAGCAGAGATCTGCTTAGAAAGCTTGATTCCTCTGACCTCCCTTCACTTGCAACAAGACCAAAACAGATCAGGAAGAAGACAAGCAAATCCCAAATTTAACAGCAGCAGTTTGAGGTGCTATGCCTGTTGTAGCCTGTCTAAACTTTTTTCCTCACTTTTTTTCCAGTAAAAGGCATTCATCTACTCAGTCATTAAGAAACACACAGAGAAACTTGACTGATGTTTGGTCAAGTATTAAAAAGATTATTAAAATCAGTACAATAATATCTTACAAGAATTATGTTGATTTTGTGCATTTATTTTATGTACTTAGGTGCACATGAAGAACATAGTGCTGGTAAATGACATCCCCTTAATTAGGCAAATATTTCCAGTGGTCGACGCTGTCCAGGGATGCTCAATCCATTTCTGATATTTAGGCTTCACCCACCAGTTTGGTAAACTAGCATCAATTCCTCAGATAACTAACTAATGAAGTCCAGTTCTGGGGCATGGGATGAGCAATGGCTTGTATAATAGATCCTAACTTTCCACTCCTTACGCATTTCCCAGCAGCCTAGCCTCTGCCTCTTGTACAGTGAAGAGGATGTTGATACAAATGCCAGGGATGAAGTACTATACCCAGTTAATAGGAGATGCTAACACACATCCTTCTAAGGCTTGCAAGTGAAGAGAATTTCTTTAGTACTACTAAGTCTTTCACTCAGTAGGCAAATAGAGCACCTGTATAATGGTATTTTCTCAGCCTTCCCAAAGGTCATTTTTATATATAATGTAACATATATTAGCAGAGATGTTTTTCCATATAATTTTTAAAAGCTAAGGATTCAAATGGTGAGAGAGATGTGTGTATAATATATATATATATATGTACACAGGCTATATAATACCTGCTGTGCATCATTTAGTGTTAAGTACTGACTTTAAAATAAGCTATAACTCAGACACCTGATGTACTTGATCTGATTTTTTTTTTTGATACTACATTGGTCTTTAGAGCTGATTCCTTTCTAAATCTTTCAAGTAACTCTGAAAGGATACTGCAAGCAGGGAGAAAACTGAACCAAATCTAAAAATGAAGTAATTTATGTTTTAGGGGAGTAGTTTTTCAGATTATCATTTCATTTTCTACATTCCAGACAGCTATCAAGGTAAAGCATTTACAGATTGTTACTTTCTGTATTCTCTATTTTGCATTTCAGCTTTACGTAGGCAATCAGTTTTCATCTTGGAAAACCAGATGCTTAATCTAGTTTCTTTACTGAGTGAAGCCAAAAGCATTTCTTAGAGCTCTTAACTCTGAATTTCACTTTTGATCCAAATTTCTGAAAGAAAGTGTTACCAGATAGCCACTTACTTGGAATCAATGCTACTGGTCTTACTTTCAGTGAAGACCCAATGACAATAAGGAGATCAACTTCATTTTTGTCATACTTCATGGCGCGATGGAACTGCTCAGGTAAGTTCTCTCCGAAGAACACTATATCTGGCTTCATGATAGCGAGTGGTTCATCAGGTGGACATCTGGGACATCTAGGTACAACCTGCATTAAACCAGCTTCTATTATTACAGTTCAAGGCTGCACCCTTGAAAACCCCAGATTTTAGCAATTCACAGTCACTTATTTTGGCAAAAGACAGGGAAGTTTCAGTGATATTTCCTCTTTTCATTTTTCTGCAGATATAGAGACATGTACATTTCTTATTCTAGCCTGCAGCAACTGCAGGAATAAAGAGGGAGTCCTCTTAAATCAAAAGGGAGAAACCATGCAGCTCTTCACCACAGTTCTTATCTGACTACTAAGCCAAAGTCCCAGAAGTCATGCTTAGAACCAGTGAGTAATTATCTCCTGTTTGATAGGAATGTATTTTTCTTGGTTTAACTGGGGCAACAGCTTAGATTTCACTGTCAGTTTCCACTGTAGGATCTGATACAAACCCCTCCCCAGTCAAAGAGTATATTGTACAGCTTTACTCTCTACTTTCTCTCTCTCCACAGAGGTTATGTGTGTTACAGACGAAAAGCAACTACTATAGCAGCTAGCAAAAAGCATACAGGACAAGAACACAGAGAAGAACTTTTGTTTGCTCTCCATTTTAAATGTTTCCAGTTCCTCTAAAAAGAGAGCAGAACCCTTGCTCACTAAAAAAACAAGAGTCAGGTTTTGTGGAGAAGCAGGCTCCCTTTCCTTCTGAAACCAGAGATTTTAGGACAAGGGGTAACGGGTTAAAACTTAAACAGGGGAAGTTTAGATTGCATATAAGGAAGAAGTTCTTTACTGTAAGGGTGGTGAGGCACTGGAATGGGCTGCCCAGGGAAGTTGTGAATGCTCCATCCCTGCAGGTGTTCAAGGCCAGGTTGGACAGAGCCTTGGGTGGCATGGTTTAGTGTGAGGTGTCCCTGCCCATGGCAGGGGGGTTGGAACGGGATGATCTTTGAAGTCCTTTCCAACCCTAACTATTCTATGATTTTCTAATCTTTGGACCCCCCTTTCAACTCCTTCCTATTTTAAGACTTTTTCAGAGAGAAGAAAGGCAAGAAGGTGAGCAATATATGTACAGACTGAGCAATTTCTCTTTAAAATAGTTCAAGTCTTCTCAACTGCAGTATTAAAATACAATGCCCCAGAATAAATCTAAGGAGCTAAATGTAGTTGCAATCCTACAGCAGTCATCACAAGCAAATCAGTGCTATGTAAAGGTGTAAAGATATGTATGTTACCTACTGTAATATGAGAATATATGGCAACTGGTATTTATATGTGTAATAACTCCCTCTTGTAGAGAGAGCATATGCAGAAAAATAACACAGAACGTAGAAAGTTTAAACTGAAGAACTGGTTTACGGATACCTGCACTAGGAAAAAGACAATGCTTTCCAAATGATAAAACATCACAAGGCCTTCCTCTATTGTTAAAGGACCTTTCCCAGAAATGTAAGTCTTCAAACACAGAATCTAATCCTCCTTTGAAGAAAACACTGGGGGACAGACAAGGAGCAATTCAGCACAAGAACTAGGAACTGGTCTAGAGGAAACCTTCACCATGTACCTAAGTTAAGAGTCTAGTAACCCCTCACTAAAAGGAAACCAACCAGAATAATACCACCAAAAGCAGCAGATGGGTAGAATGAATCTTGAACATTTTCCTCATATCTTTATATATTAGAGAGTGCATTAAAACTTTTATGAAGCTTTTTTACCCTGCTGCCTCTTCTGTTGATGTTAGTGATGCCTTTGCACTTTCAACTGGAAGCTTAACGAGGGAAAATAATTTGCTCTGTCTTAGGAGGAAGGTGAAATGAGGACCTCCAACTTTTGATGTAAAGAGACCAGGTAATATTAACTCTGTTTCCATCATTTCTGACAGGAAGTCCAATGGCTTGTTTTTTAGTAGATCTCTATAGAACAACTGATGTCCCTATCCAAATCATTTAGTCACTGTAATGGGCCCATAAATGCTTTTCAGCACTACACTGCTCATCAGCTTCTCTGCTAATCCTCAGAAAGGTCATCAGTAAGAGGGAAGGATCTATTCCAAGAGCTGAAATTGATACCAATAATCTAAAGCTAGATAATTGGCCACTCAATTACCTAGGGTCCTCTTCACCTCCAGAAGCAGCACTCCCCCAAAGCCCCACTGCCTCTGCTCATCTCTAATTTAAACAAAAATGAAATTTCTCACTGACTATTGATGTTATCTATGTATAAAATCTAAGATTAGTAAAGTTTATGTTGGCTTAAGAATATCCAAGAACTGGTGCAAGTTTTCCATTTGCAGGGCCTTTACTTCCTAAATCTGAGACCCTTTCCTTTCACTGTTTCTTGGAGCTACCTAATATAATTAAAAGCAAAGTAAAAATGGTATTTTTGGAAGTGACTGACAACTTTTTTACTCAGAAATTCTATGTGCAATTTATGACTGCTGCTGCTGCTTCTCATCCAAAAGGGTGCAGCAACCCAGAGAAAAAAGCATGCTACTGAGCACAAGCACATTATCTTGCAAGTGGCAAAAGAATGAAGTGCAGCAATAAGAAATTGGTATTATTCTAAACAGATTATTTCAAACAATTCTCAATCTATAGTATGTTGAAAGGAAATCCTGGCAGAAAGATGTTAGTTAGACTCACTTCCTTGTGAAGCACTTCAGACCATCAGGGGATGGACCAGAGCAAAGGAAAGGTAGTATATTCAAGGGAAAACTAAGGACCTGAGGCCATGTATAACTGAACTTTCAAGAGTGGAGGACAGTGAAGGCTAGAAACTGGCCTATTAGGACCTAGGTGCCAAAAATATTTTGTGGAAGAGGACTTGTTAGAAAACAAAGCTGTTGAAATGGACAGTGTTTTGTTTCAGAAGTACAGAAAAGGTTTCTTTTTATATCTAGGGAACCAAATTCTATAGTCTAAAGAGGCAAAAGAAAAAGCAACTGCATAGCACTGGTTTGAGAAATGCAGGCTATGGAAAATTATTATTTATTTATTTTTTCTCCAGAGGAGGAGGAACAGATTTTCTTTCAGTACCTGTGTTTCTCATATTAAATGATATTTGGCCATTATGAAAATAATTCAGTATTACAGCTAGAGCCTACCCTGGAGACATGTACCTGGCAATAGTACTGTAAGATCAGGCCTGAGAGACTGAGTTTAAAAAGATCCTTTGGTCTCCTTCTTACTCCTTTTGGGAGTAAGAACCCTCTGTTCTCATGCAGAAGTATTGCTACAGGCTGCTTCTTTCTGCTTCTCCATGCTTCCATTACAGACCACCAGCAGGGACAGGCCATTGGGGCAGAAGTCTGGTTCAGTAATATGAACATACAATAATTGAAGTGCTGTTGGGAAAAGGAGAGCTGACCAGGAACAGTCAAACCAGAAAAGTACAGTATACTTAGAAAAGTTGTTTAGAAATAAAACCCCTAAACTCCAGCCAGCTGGTTTTGAAGGTAAAGGAAAAGCAAACATCTGTAAGATGATAAAAAGTTCTCAAAAATAATATTCTTAACAGAAAAGTAAACCAGACTTCATATTCAGTGTTACAAAACTTCAGGCTTAGGAGATTTACACATCTTAAAGCTTTAACTCAAACATCTCTTCTGAAAGGCTTTCATCAAGTTCAATTTCAAATGTAATACCTGAAAGATTTACATCCCTTCTGTGTTTCTCATCTAAAGTTGCCACTGTGGACTCTTAAGCATTTATCATAAAACCCCATGAGTCTGTAGAAAGAGTCCCCTTCCGTTTGTATAAAAAAGATCTTTTTGATCAGCAAATCATCACCTCTGTTCCTTCAAAAGAAGGGGAAGAATAGCAAAGAGGGTCTTGCAAAGCCAAAGGTTCATCACTGACACAGCAGAACTACCTGCCTTGGCCCTGAGGCAATTCACACCCAGATGCAGGGAATCCCAAATATGCAGTAATTCAGAAGTCCTAGAAATCAGTGTCCAGCATCTCATTTGATCGTCTTCCTTGCTCAGAGGCTGGTCTGTAGCTAGCAGTTTCTCCATGTATCATCTACCATTTAAACGTATTTTTAACGTAAGTAAATGGTCAAAGAGCAACCAGTGTTCTTAATAGCTAAGAATGCTTTCTCAGTGTGACTGTGAGTTCAAACTAACACAAACCAGGTATAAATCTGACTTTCTACTTACCATTTTAACCTCTACTTTTCTCAAAACGGATTCTTAAGGTTTTGTTCTTCTTTTTCCCATTACCTAATTTTTGCAGTACATTATTTGAGTATACTTCTAAATACTAGAGGAAATACTGAAATACAGATAGGCACTTTTATGAAATACATGCAAAGATATGTAGCCTTTTAAAAGCAGATCTTTTCAGTGATCCAAGCACGGTGGCTTGGGTTTGGTTGTTTTTTTTTTTTTTGTGTGAGAATTACTGATTACAAAGCTGCAGTGAGTTAAAGTAAATTTCTTACCTGATTGAAAATATCTCCTCGAACAACTTCACAATCAACTTTGTATTTACAGATCAAGCAGGAAGCTGTTGCAAAGGAACCTGAGGGGAAGAACCCATATGGTGGAAATTAGGATTTTCAGTCATTCAGATTTGGTCTTTCTGGCCAAGCTGTTTTGACACAAAGGCTGTTATGTTGCAGTGCTAAAAAAATCAGTCATTAAAAACTAATGTAAAATTCATGTAAAAGTAGTTCTTTAGATGTTAGTCAGTAGAAATCTTGTTTTAGGAGTACTGATATACCACATGCATGCCAACACAAGTTACACTGTGTCTCTGATTCCCTCAGCCTATGCAAGCATATACAAGGAGAGGAGAACAGAACCTTCCCTTTTCCCCTTTATACAACTAACAGTACCACCAGCAGCTCTGCAAACAGCAGCAGCAGAACAGGAACCCACATGAACTCAAGAAACTAGGGCAAAAAACCTTAAGAATATGCGTTAGTAAATACTTCATTATAGACAACTAAATAGCACTAGTACTGTTCCTTTCAGCATAAGTGGGAACTTAAAGCTACATTGTTTAAATTGAATACTGTTCTGAACTTGCTTAGCTACTGTGTTTATTTGGCAAGACTGTGTTAAGTGTGTTGCTCCCTCCAGCCACTTGGTAGCTCTAACTGGCCTGTTTCTGAAGCAGCTAAAAGTGATGCTCGAGTATCTGATAGAGTATTTGCTTCTCTGTCTGTCTAAGGGGAAGCCTTATCAGGTGGCTAACACATATGAAAATACAGTCTGAAGTCATTGTGGCAAACTGGAGTGGTCTTTTGGTGTGCATATGTCCAGGAGAGATAAACCTGTAAGGCCTTTTATCTGTGGAAGGAATAATGCTAGAAGTTCACAGAATAATGATAAATAAAGTAGAAAAAACATTACAGATTTTCTCCTAACCATGAAACAAAGGGTAAAAAAAAAGAATTTGGGATTTTTGACCCTGCACTGGAATGCATTACTCATGGAATCATACAGTAGAAGTCTGTAGCTGTCAAATTTCTCATGGTGATATGAGGGCAGTAAGAAAGCCCTGTGACTGAATAATGCTCAGGAAGGTACAAAAGTCTGCCTTCAAAAGGAAACTTTTAGAAAGGTAACAATTCAGATGTTGAAAGCTTTGCAGAAGCAAGGAACAGCTAAAAACCTCTGGTACGAAAACTGTATCTGAAGTATTATTTTAGGCCACCAAAACTGAAGAAGTTTTCTGCTCATAACCTACATACAGCAGCCAACCAATACTTAACACTGCTAAATAAAGGGGTTCTGGGGGTAAGTAAGTGTAACTTCAAAATATGTTTTGGGAATATTAGATTTGGTCAAGACAAAGAGAACAAAAGCACAGAAAAACTTGGAGCAGATCATTCAGGAACAACTGGCAGTTCAGGTCTGCCTATCACAGCTGGAATGGAAGGTACACAGCTTCTGAAACACCTGCTCATCATTGTGCAACTCCCAGAACTTGCGGGATTCCAAAGACTACAGGAAGCATGACAGTTACTTGCTCATTGTAATTTGTTCATAGAAATAATTTAGGCCTTTATACAGTGTGTTAAGGACATCTGTCAGGCTAGCAGACCTAATCCTGTCTGAGGCATCTGTTGATACCTACCTGCAACTCTGTGAGATACTTTTCACTGTTAGAAGGACTTGATCAAGAAATTATGCTGCCCTATGCATGAGTTATATAGCTAGCACACTGCCTCTGATTATTCAGCTAAAGCAATAGCAAGGAACGTGATCTAATTCCAGGCGCATTGGTTGAATGCAATAGCCATTTTAAATTCAGAAAAATGCATCTAACTAGTAACTTTACTGTACGTCTGCAGTGTGAAATGGGTTCAAAGGTTCATATATGAACTCCCTAATTCATTACAAGGTTCCTTGTAATTTGGCACATTCATTATTAACTTGTCAATGACACAGGCAAAAAAAGATAATAATAAATATAGCAGTATAAACCCTTACATAAAGTTTCAGTTTCTCAACAGCCACTACCATTAGTCAGCTAGCATTTTTAAAAAAGAGCAGCATAATTGTATGTCAGATAAAGCTTGATGTACTCAAAACAATCTCTGCTAATTTGAAAAGGCCTCAAAATCTGTAGCATATTTTCAAGAATCTTTCTAATTTAATATCAGCTTATACAGAACATACACTGAAGATGGTCTGAAACCTACTTACTGTAGTGTGCACCTGAAAAAATGGGAAGCTTGAGTGTGGCAGTGATGTGCAAAACCGTAACTATGTGAGAAGTTAATGACAAATACATCATACAGAATGACAACCAAAAGAAAATGCATGACACACTAAGCACAAATGGAAACTAGATTTGGGTTATTCGAGAAGTAGGGTTCTCATGTGTGCTCTTTGGTCCCCACAACAGCACAGCATTTGCTCTGTCTAAAAAAAGGGTACTGACAAATCTGGCAAAGTTAAGCTATGTAGATAAAGAAACCAAGAGAGTTTTTTTCCCCTGGAAAAGGTGGACTTGGACAGACAAGTCTTACAAACATACTAGTGCTGCTTTTAATCAATTCCTTTGCCAGAAGTCTCCTAAATGAACTGAAAGTGCACCTTAACAACCAATTTTCTCTGTGCTTTCCTTAAAACTTAATTCTTGAACTCTTAGCTTGACATTTGCAACTCCTTGGAAATGGAAAGCATATCAAGCAACTAATTACAATACCACATTGAGTGGAATCCATTAATTACAGAATGTGTATGACACTGAAGGTGTAACAAGATGATCTTCAATTCAACTGAATTGGTATTTAGTCCACAATATTTTATACATGAGGTAAAGTCACTGAAGTGTCAGGATATTTTAGGATTTCAATTGAATATAACCTAAATAAAGAATCAGATAACAGCCAAACTCCATTTTATTGACAGTGAGAGGGACCTATGAAAAGACTGATTTCCAGACTATGTTCTCATACTTGATTATAAAGAGGCAACAAATAAACTTTAATAAAACTTAAGGTCTAAGCTTGTGTGAACAGGGTATGGATCTTTACTGATGCATGAAGACCACCATGTATCAGGCATAATTTCTGAAAGAAGTATTTCCACTTAAATCACTTCTGATTTAAATACATGTTACCTAAAAAACCCCAACAAAACAACATTTAAAAAGCAGTATATCTGTTGCCAAGAGATACCAATTCAACAAAAAAAAACCCAAAGCTTCCAATAGTGATTGTCACCTGTACCAGTAAAAATCATTCCTACACATAAAATAAGTGAAACTAAAGCCACTAACCATGACACTGTATTATCCTTTGGATTCCTGCAACCTGTTCCAGTGTGTCTATGTTCTGAGTATAGTTGCGAAGTAGTTTTCCTTCTTTATCCATCAAAGCTATGAACTTGTGACAGAGAGATGGCTGGAACTGTCCTGGATAGATTTCCTAGGGAATTCAGAAGTATATTAGAAAGTGAAAATGGATATACAACTGCAGCAATTCATACAGGCCTAAATATCATCAACAATTGTGCTGGCAGTTTATGTTGTCGCTCCCTTTGCATTTTGCCATCTCTCAGACCCAACTTTTCTTTCAACAGCTAAGCTTCTGATCATGTCAGTATAAACTGGTCCATGCAAATTGGTATTTTGTTCTTCAGACAGCATAAAAGCAAGGTTTATATCTTTTGGGGGTTTGAGAATTATGAAATAGAAAAGCCATTTTTCCTTTGGTAAGTGTCAAGTAACCTCAGTATTTGTTGTTTGAAATATACATGGTTTAACTGCAGTTGGACAAAAATTTCATTACGAATTTGGATTCTGGTCTCTTGGTTTGGGATAAGAAGTTTTTACTCCTCAGCATTATCAGCAGCCATTCCTAGAAGATGGAAGCCCAGAAAACGGAATGGCATTGGCTATAAAGGGTAGGACAAGTGGTACTTGGACCAGCTTTGCCAATTTAGCCAGTTACAGTAGTAACCATTGGCTTAGTAGAGCAATTCTGCTGTGCCTGATAGATGCTCAACCTCTCTGTTAGGTCAAGGCACAGTAGGTAGGTATATCTAAAGAGCATATGGAAAAAAATGTAGGCATTTTTGTAGAATGATTTGATACTTCCTCACAGTGAACAAGGAGCCTGTCAAAACAAAAATTCAATCTGGGCACCCAGCTGAAAGCTTCTGTCTGGAGCTGACCACCCCATGTGGTACCTCTGGTTGCTGTGTGATAAGGAAGACAGCAGCAGCAGCACCACCACCACTCTGTTGCTCAGAAGCACTTATTTAGGGGAGGAACTTGAGTTTCAGAACCTCTCTTTTCCAGTCACTCTGTCACCACTGAACAGCAACTGGGCTGGAGTCCCACCTGCACAAGTGAGGCCTTTTTATGGAAAAAGCACAAGAGTAACTGGCCAAAAGAAAGTCAGCAAGAAGGAAGGTGCTGCCTATCTTTACCAGTAGATACTTAAAGCTGAATCAAACGTCCTAGAACAACAGTGAACTGTTAAATTCATCTTTGTGTCAGCTCTGCCTTCAGCTGTCATACAGCCCAACTATTAACATACTTGTTTTTCCCAAAATATTTCAAGTTCTCATAATTCTGAAACTACATGCATGGGTCTTTGGAGTTAAGATGCGGCAATGATCAACGACTGCTCATTGTGCTAGATTATCTAGATTATAACTAGGGCTACTACACAATTATAGTCAGTTATTCATGTGGTCGTAACAGCTTCTATATCTTAGTCTGAAGAAGCAAGATGTGTTCTGCCACTGAACTCTGAAAATTTATTTGGCCATTCTTAAAATTAAAAGGAATTAAGACTTCATCAAATCAGACATCAATATTCTAACTAAGCTGATGGACAAAAAAGAAGTAGGAGAAATCATTTTAGTAAAAACCTATCAGCCACACTGGACTATTCTGGTAAAACCTGTGTATCTACAGGCATCAAGTAAGTTGGGGGTTTTTTGTTTGCTCTTTTGGTGGGATTTGCGGTTGGGTTGTTTTTTTTTTTTTTTGTTGTTGGTTGGTTTGTTAATATTAAAAAAAAAACAAACAAACACCAAAACAAAACAGCCAAGGAACTGAGTACATTAATAAGCATCAAAACATATTAGTATCTAGATAGGAGGCTTTCAGAGAAAGCTGAGCAGCTGCGAAATACATTTATTTTTCTCTTTTGATCTTTATAACAGACCAATAGTAAAAATAGTGAGCAAAGGGAAGAAAGTGAGCAAAACTAGTAGTGATTGATTTTCACAAGTCCTTACTGGTCCTGTAGTAATTCCTAAATGTTTTGGTTTGACTTCTTTTTTTTTCTCCCCCCCCCCCAAAATACCAGATTAGGTGTCATTATTTTATTGTTGCTACATGTGTCTATAGTTTCTACAATTCTTTGTCTCTGCAATGTACTCCCTGCTTTTTAAACTGTTTAATATCTCTAACATCTTTCTAAAAAACTGCTGTGTTCTCCCTTTCAAGTGAACACAGTCCCTGCAAAAAGGCTTTAATTCCCTAAGATGTACAGATTCTTGTGACAGCTATAGGAAAACCTGAAACAGGCACTTATTAGTGTATGAAACCACTTTAGTCCTCTTTACTGTAAATACAGTGATAAAATGTGAAAGTATTGTACAACACTAGAAAGCATGCCACAGGATATCAAATCCTAATGTAGCTTTCCACATTACTCATGTGCTGGCCAAAAATTTCTCATATTCTTTCATTTTTCAGAGAAAGTACCAGCAGCTAAGACTATTAATCACATAGCTGCAAGTTTTTGTTTATCATCCCTGAAATTAGAGACATACCATCCAGAATGGTTGTTTATACAATGAACTTGTAAGAGGAACGGTAAAAATAACATTAAAAAAGAGTTGCTGATTATTTCTAATAAGGACAGTATGTGGTTGCACACAATGACTGAAGTAACATGAGGATATAAAATTGGTACGTTACAAAGACCTGCCCAAGGACAGAGTTCTTACACTACTGAATGAGGTCTCTCATTAAAGTAAATTCAATCTATTAACATATTTTTCTATCTTGCTTATAAAAAAAAAAAGACATATATTGTGTTGTTAATAGAATAGCTTTGTATCTGATTTATGCATTTTAATACTGTCATCTATCTTCACTGACCAAGAAAAAACTGTTGGAAAACCATACCTTTGCAAATTTAAAAAATGGCCTGGGATCCTTTCTGAAGTATTCTATATCGAACATTGCTTGAGGATCTGGAAGGTCTGGGAAGTCTACAGCAAGGCGTGCATATATGCCATCTCTTGATCTAAAGTCAGGTATTCCACAAGACACAGACACCTGAAATATATTTTTGCAATCTGAAATAAGCAAAACTACATATTCAGCTATAAAGAGTTGCTGTGATATAAACTATTTGGGAAATCATGTTTCTGTATGCTGACTGTGCTGAAGACTTTAAGAACAAACCCAGTCTGGGTTCTCTTACTTATTTTTGTTTCCCCCCTCTTTTTTTATTTAACCAATAAAACAATTCTCAAATCCCAAACAGGAAAAAGAGCACAGAAAACCCTGTTAGTACAATCTCACAGGCAGTAATAGGACACTTACTTTTACTACTGGAAGTTTTGTAAGAAGTGAACAAAAATCTAAAATACCATTGTGTTAAATTTAATTAACAGATGTTCACTGATCTGTTAACTTAGGCTTGGAAAAGGTGGTTGATATATTTTTTTTAACATGCTAACACAGTAACAAAGTAGACTTTTGATAAATAAAACCCTTTTGATAAATATTGTTTATCAGAGCACTGTAGTGGTCAATAAAGACTGAAATTTATCCTCTCAGACTACTCCAAAACACTAAGGAAAAAGGAGAAACAGGTGTATGATAACAATTATAGAAAGAGCAAGACTGGGTAACAAATAAAACAAGCTGATCTGAATCACTCATCTTTTTTGAATCATGTCACACCCTCTGTGTATGAACAACAGAAGCAAAAAGTTACCAACTTTTGTATCATGATCTGGTACACAGGTATAAAGCTGCAAAATGTATAACAGCTGAGAAATGTTCTTCAGTAAAACAGTGAGTAAACTTATTACCATCACAGAGCAGCACATGTGAAAAGTAAGATTTAGTCTACTGAAACCTAATGAAAATCTCCCTTCCCCTTAACTCTTCTTTTTGAGTCCTCTTCTAGTACCTCTAGCTCCATCAGGTATTTTAAGATTCACTGACATTTTGTTTAAAAAAAATCATTACCTTTGTTTCACATGAAAAAAAACAACTAGGGTAGAAAATTTTCTGGAACAGGCAGAAGTGATCTACTTTGCATGGGAACAACTGTATAAGGACTTAAATGCTTTTAAGAATATTTTATTATGAAAGATCTTGTAATTTCCAATTTAAGCTTCGGTCTTGCAGTGTGCATTATCTGTAGTGGACAGCTGTGCCTCCTCTTCTCATCTAGCATAATTATTTGATTATGAACGTCATGAGGTTCACATCACCTGGATGCTGTAAAGCATTGGGTAAGTATTTAACCAACTGTCTACATATTCTCTCACTCTTAAGTGTAGCAGTACGTACCCCAGCTCCAGTCAAGACCATTATTTTTTTGCATTCTTGTAAAAGTTTCACAGCATCATCAATAGTATTAATATCTTTTCGTTTTTTTCTTTTTGGTGGTTCTGAAAGAATGTTTATAACAATTTGCCACAGTGTCATATCATCTAGTTCAGGTGGAGGGATTGTTTCTGGTAGCAGGTCTTTTAGAATTGTCCGTGGGTCTGTACCTAACATGAGATGCTGCTGAACAAAAGTGTAGGGACCTAAGAAAAAAAAAATAATTAGAATTGAGTCAAGTAGTTCAGATTATTATATCATTGCTCCATTTATTAACGCTTGCTACTAACATTTTATTAATCCAATTTACTACTTTGCTCATCAAAGCCTCTGCATATTTTGTTCTAAGTGATAGTACAGCTTGGGTTTTTACTCACTATGATGTTAACCCATGAAGGATTTAATGAAAGTCAAGGTAAAATCCCAGTTCATAGCAAACTTGATGGCTCTTAGAGGTGCACTTATTTAGCAATGAGATTTTCACAGTGTATCTCCATTTTATGGCTTCATTGTTATTCTTTCAACATTTTGTAAGCTATTTACATTAATAAGTTGAACAGACAATAAACATGCATATTATAAAACATCACTCTAAAGAGTCAAGTAGGGCCCACCAATCCATGGATTTTTGTTGTTCTTTTAGCCATCTAACACTCATGATTTCAGACATAACCTCTTAAAGCCATAAAATCAATCTTTCCAGAAACATTCAAGATTAGAGCAGTAAAACAGGTGAATCTTAAGAAGCTGAACTAAGAGGACTCAAATAGGTATCACTAAGGCTAATAACAGTACATATAAAGAAAACAACTGCTATACATATTTGCCCAAAAGTAACCAATAGTGATCCTGCAAATGAGGGATTAGCAAAGACAATTTTTGAATATTGTGTCATCGTAATGTGTTTTCTTGCTACTGGTCCTATCAAGACTAACAAAATAAATGCTGTGGTATAGTCACGCCTTGGTAAGACAAAGACCTGACCCCACTGCACCCTGGAAGCTACTGTCCCACACAGATCACCAGGGACCTGAACAGTTAGCTTGCCTCTGTACAAGGCAAGAACTTTCTACCGAGTTCCTAACTACTATGGTTAACTTATCTACTGGTAGTATGCAATACATATGCAGACTAGTAATTCCCAAACTGATGTAACACTTAGGACAGTGAAGCCCTACAGATTGGCTAAAATTACACACAAATCATCTTCTTGTTCCTTTAAGAATACTAAGTAAATAGGCAAGAAATATGCTAACAGTCATTCAATTTAGTGAGCCTGTGTGTATGCTTTTAATATGGATCACAGCCAGTTTTCTACACAAAAAGACATCGACAGTTTTAATCAAAATACAGCAGGTTTAAAGAGGTTAATTTTTAAACTCTTTAAATAACATGCAGAATACTCAACAACTCTCAGCTGCTCAAAAGCAGTAATTGCCAATTTTTTTTTTTCAACATAAATCAGTTGGAGAGTGGGAAGAATTAAGTAACTGTTCAAAGGCAAACAGCATCTAATTATATTATTTAGGTTTCTACCTATACGTGGTCTTGGAGTCCAGTCACTAGAACTTGCATGCGAAGCTCTGTCATCTTCATCACTGTCACAAGAGTGAAAACCATTGGCTATGATTTCATCACTAAAAAGGAAGTTATCTGCAAGACAGCACAACAATGTTAGATGGGTTACACTAGAGCTAAATTGTACAGGTATATATTTAAATACATCACAAACCCTAAAATTGTACATATTTAAATACATCACAAACCCTAAAATTGTATGCTATAAAATCTGATTGCAATGAATTATAAATAAGCAGTTTTGTCACATGGGAAATTTCTGTTTGTTTTTTTTTTTTTTTTAAAGTTTATAGCTATGCTTTCAAGCCTTCAATAGATTTACAGCAGGATTTGCTATCTTAATATTGGGCTTTAGTGGGCTAGATGTTGACCATAGTGAAATTTTCACAAGTGTTGGGCATTAAGGATTTTGTATTTTAGAAAAAATCCAGATGTTTTAAAGGTACAATTAAAAATTACCTTCTCTTACAAATTCTCACTTCAGCTGAGAAACTGGATGAAATGAAAATGCATCACTATTTATAGACCAGTCTATGATTAGGTTTTAAGAGCACAGTGTTTTATAAAAGCCCACAAATACACATTTGGATACAACGAAGTTAGAATTTTGTTAGGTGGTTACCTTGCAGCTGAGCTGCAATAGGTGACCACATACGCACTTTTATGATATTTCAGTTATGACAGAAAATGTGCTACCTTGAACCACCTTCACTTTATCTCATCCAGTTTACTCTGCAGCTGGGTTTGGCTTAGACTACCACAGTTACTTCAGCTCAGCTCATGGCCTTAAGCCAGAGTAACTCAATCTAACTTCATCACGTATCTAGATGGAGGAGCCCAAAGAAGAATGAAATACTTGTCTTACAGCATGCATTACTAAGCTAACATTTAAGGGGAAATCTAAATTTTAACCTGAGCAGCTTATCAGAATTTAGACTACTAAGATTTTTTAATTGGCTTTATTAGAAATAGCAACATCAGCTTAATTTTTCTAAAAGCTAAAATGATGAATAAAGGAGAACAAGTTTCAGTAAGGCTCTCTAAAGCAAAGAATCACTATAATAGTTTTCAACTTCTATTTGAATAAGCCCCTACAATATTTTAACTAGGTTACCTCACTTTACTCTTAAATAAAGAACAGCACAAAAGACCTTTAGTTTTTATTCAGAGATTTTGCTGTCCTGTTCTTTCTGTTGCTGGTATAAACACGTTATTCTGGTTAGAATGAAAAGAGGTGTAGGTCAGAAATTTGCATTTTGTACTTGCTGTCTTGTTCTTCTGAGACCACAGGTATTCACTGACGCTGCTGTTTCTTATTATTAACCTATTCATTTACAGTGTATCAGTTCCATCTCATTATGCACGAAGTCAGTGAACATACTATGCAAAAAGCATTACTAAGAAAAAAGTTGACTGGTACACATCAGTAAGTGTGAAGTGCAAGATTTACTAAAATAATGTTTATGTCTACTGTATAAAGAAACAAAGGTTACAGTGTTAAAGACTCATCACATACAGGTCTGGTTGTCTTGCATTTAAAAAACGCTGTGACAGATACATGCAGGCTAAAGCAACAGCTTAAATAGTAACACTCCCTATGTATCCATTTGGTTCTTCAAAGGTCTTAAAGGGAATGCTTGCCAGAAGCAACACACAGCAAAACATGCCTGAGGATCTGAGTAACGAGCAAAACCGCTTCATACAGGGCACTGATAAGAGATCATTAGCTTTACTCTTGGTCTGTTCCAATGAAGTTTTTAAATACCAAGGCTGTCCAAGCTTATCATACAGCTCTGTTCCCTCTGGGATTACTTTTGCACAGGCAAAGAATTTCTGTAGAATTTTAGTATTGAGTTAAAGGTAAAATATCTTCTAACTGCATTCTAGAATAAAAGATAAAGACTTTACTAGCAGAATGCAGCATCTCAGATCTTTTGAAGTCCTTCCAAAGCACTAACTTAAAAACCAAAATGAGCAAACCCTATCCATTTCAATAATGCAATGCAAGGTAAGTTCATTTTGATACTGCCCAAACAATATGCTTCTAACATGATCTGCAAAGAAACTCTTTCAGAAGATTATAGTTTAGTTTTGTGATGCAATCACTGAAATCTTAACTAAAACTGTAACTTGAAGTTATGTAAAAACTTGTTCAAGACCGCTGCTCCTGTGCTTTCTGTGCAAGTTGATTGTGAAAAGGAAACAGAGCTTATGATTGCAACACAGCAAAATAAATGTTTTCAGAAATATAAGAGCCAAATCGATCTCCTTCTGCGAAGGAGCATCTCCTTCTCCAAAGCCACCCACAAAAAATAACAGGCTTTGACAAGGACTGACGAGAATTAGAACTGATAGGGTTTAGAAAAATGGATGCAGCAGCTCACTCGAGTTTGCGTTCGATGTACGGTTCAGGAGATGTACGGAGCACAACGTATATGCAGGGATCACCCCGCGAGCAGCGCCCACGAGTAGCGGCGCTTTCTCTCCCCCTAGACCGGGTCAGACCAGAGCTAGCCCCGGGCTGCAGCAGGTGAACACCGACCTTCCCTGCGAGCGACACGGCCCCTGGGCCAACGCTAGGCGGGAAAGCCCAGGTGGCTACTGCGGAGAGGCGCCCGCGGGGAGCTCCAGCGCAGAGCCGGCACCAAGTACCAGCGTAAGGTGGAGGGAGCCCGCCGCGGCCTCCGCCTTTCCCGACGTGGGCTGCGCGGCCGGGCCGCTCCCTGACGGCTGCGAGAGGCCGGGCCGCGGCCTGCGCCGGCGGGCCAAGCGGAGGAGGGGAAGGATGGGGTCCTCACCGGGATGCAGGGCCGTCGCTTCGGCCGCCCCGTTTGAACACTGCGCCCGCCTGCAGCCAATGGCCGCCTCCGCCGCGTCTTCGCCGGGCACCGCCTCCGCCCCCTCCCCCCGGCCCCGCTGCCGCGGAGGCGGCTCCGCCCGGGGCAGGCCCCGTAACCCGGCCCTATTGTCCGCGCCGCTCCAGACCGCCGCCACCTCTTCGTCCTGTTCCTCCTCCGTCCGTCCGCCGCCATCGGCGGTAACGGCAGCCGCCTCACCCGGCAGCTCCGCCGCCACAGCGGTGGCGGGCGGCGGCCCCGCGCCCCGGTCCGGGCGTTGGGCGTACGCCGCGCCCCGCCCGCAGCCACCGTCTCCCAAGTCCAGGCGCTGGCGCTTCAGAGCGGGCTCGACGCTCTCGGCCGCGCCGCCGGGGCCGCAGTCGCGCGGACGGAGGAGCGGAATCTCGTCGTCCGCCATCTTGGAGTAGCAACCACCGCCCCCCTCCCGCCCGGCGCAGCAGCGCAAGCAGCGCCTCCGCCACAGCCCCCTCCCCCACCCCCAGGGAGCGATTTAAACCCGGCACGTGACCGCGCCACCGCCCACGCGGGCACCCGCCCCGCGGAGGCAGCAACAACAACAAACCGGATCACGTGAGCGGGACGTAGGGGGCGGGGCGCTGCCGCCGTCACCTGACGCTCGTGCCAGCTCCACCCTCGCGTGGCAGGGTGCTGTGCCTCCCCTTCGTGGCATGGCGGCTTCTCGTCACGTGGCCGCATGTTTCCGTGCTGAGCCTCGCCCACTAGGGGGCAGGGCGGGGCGCCGCAGCCGCTGAGAGAACGTCACGGGCCGGGCCGGGCCGGGCCGGGCCGGGGGGCCCCGGCTGTCACCTGG